TTGGAGGAGGTGCGAGGAGGTGACATGGAAGAGCAGAGAGTGGAGCCTCCCTGGGCAAGTCTGCCAGAATCCTGGAGAACAAGGCACCTGACTTTACAGAGCCTTGCTTTCCACAAATGCCAAATGGGAAGTACCCACCTAGTAGTAGTGTTACTTTATAGAATACCACAAAAAAGAAGAGCTGAGCAGCAGGGAGTGAGAAGGATGGGTGAAGTCTCCTCCTTCAGGTGCCATAGAGGATCAGAGGGAGAGAACTAGACTTGCACTGTTGACTTTGGACCATCAGGTGTTCCCTACTGAAATGGTGGGAGCGATAGCCAGAGTGGGGTAGGTAGGGTCTGGATGTGGGAGAGCAGGGTGATTGGGAGTTGGGCTGATTGTGCTGGGGTGACATTAGATGACAGAAGGCAGATCAGGGCAGGATGGCTACACTGGTAGAGCCAGGTGGTAAGAGGCTGGGGAAACCAGGGAGGGGGGCATTAGCAGGGGGTCAGAGCATATTCCTTGCCACCAGGCTGGAGGGATGCGCTCACCCAAGATGTGGGAGAGGGCTGCTCCGGGCCAGGTTTTCAGGAAAGTGAGACTTTGTTTTCTTTTCACATTTATCAAACATCAGCCAGGGCAGGCTAAGATTACAGACTTCAGGCAAAATATATGCTCTCTGGGCATCTGGAGTCCAGTTGAAGATAGAGAAAGCATAGATAAAATGACAGAATTCCAAAGTATTTTTTGTAGGACATCAAATGAGTGGATCAAACAAAAACTTAAGTTGCAGGGCCCAGTATCTGTCAACAATACTCATCAGCCCCAAACTGTAGCTTTGTCTCTTTTCAATTTCAGCTCATTCTTGCCTTAGCCTTTTTTTCTTCTAACATCTTGGCAGAGTTTAATCTTGCTCTGAGTGCCAGCCTACTACCTACAGACTGCCCAGATGCCCGAAGGCCATCGTCCCTTTCTTTTTTTTTTTTTTTTTTTTTAAAGATTTATTTATTTATTTATTTGACAGAGACACAGCGAGAGAGGGAACACAAGCAGGGGGAGTAGAGGAGGGAGAAGCAGGCTTCCTGCAGAGCAGGGAGCCCGATGCGGGGCTCAATCCCAGGACCCTGGGATAATGACCTGAGCCACCCCGGTGCCCCCCATCGTCCCTTTCTATAGCAGAGTCCACCTGGGTGTTTGCTCACCTGGTTCCCCTTCCCTTTCGTCACGGAATCCTCTCCAAATATATACCCACACATCCTCTTTCTTGTCCTTGTCTTTTTGTATATTTATTTTAATACATTAATTGTATTTTCTTTGTGATTATTAGCAATAACTAGAAGTTAATTTAGAATGATATCAAGAGTTTTCTGCCCGGGCGCCTGGGTGGCTCAGATGGTTAAGTGTCTGCCTTCGGCTCAGGTCATGATCCCAGGGTCCTGGGATCGAGTCCCGTGTCGGGCTCCCTGCTCCTTGGGAGCCTGCTTCTCCCTCTGTCTCTCTCTCTCTCTCTCTCTCTCTGTCTTTCATGAATAAATAAATAAAATCTTAAAAAAGTTTTCTACCCATGACTTTTATTTCCTATTTCATTATTTAAAGATTTAGGGGCGCCAGGGTGGCTCAGTCGTTAAGAATCTGCCTTTGGCTCGGGTCATGATCCCAGGGTCCTGGGATTGAGCCCCACATCGGGCTCCCTGCTCAGTGGGAGGTCTGCTTCTCCCTCTCCCACTCCCCCTGCTTGTGTTCCCTCTCTCATTGTCTCTCTCTCTCAGTCAAATAAATAAAAAATTAAAAAAAAAAAGATATTTATTTTTAGAGAGGAGAATGAGTGCGCGTGAGTGCAGGGAATGGCAGAGGCCAAAAATCCTCAAGCCAGACTGAGGGGAGCCAGATGCGGGGCTCCATCCCATGACCCGTGAGATCATGACCTGAACTGAAACGAAGAGTCCGACACCCAACTGATTGAGCCACCCAGGCGCCCCCCATTTCATTTTTTAAAAATAAAAACAGGCGCCTGGGTGGCTCAGTTGGTTAAGCATCTGCCTTCAGCTCAGGTCATGATCCCAGCGTCCTGGGATCGAGTCCCGCGTCGGGCTCCCTGCTTAGCGGGGAGTCTGCTTCTCCCTCTCCTTCTGCCGCTTCCCCTGCTTGTTCTCTCTCTCTCTCTTGTCAAATAAATAAAATTTTAAAAATAAATAAATAAAATAAAAATAAAGACAGGGGCAATCTGTTTCTTAGGTGAAAGGGAGATAAGGAAAGAATGTTTTACATTGGAGAGAAAGGCCAGACAGTGAAGCTCCTCATCTCGTTGGCCTCTTTGTGCTCCAGACATGAGACAGCAGGTTCCTGCACTGAAAGGCTCAGAGGCCAAGGGTCTAGAGCAGGTACAGTGCAGAGTGTGGGGAAATTGAGGAATGTGATCCGTCTACAGGTGTCTAGATTTGTAGTCTCCTAGTAGCTCCTGCCCGCAGGTTTTTCTCTTCTTACCTAGACCCGATTTTAATTTGCGTGTTCACTCTCATTATTGTATCTTATGTTTGTGCTTAAATGTTATTTTTTTAATGGAATAAGATTAGACGTAAACCATTTTTCCAGGTTTCCATCGACTTCAGCTTCCAGCTACATGATTTCTACAAAGTCTCCTGTAACTCAAAGTTCTCATTCACATTAGAACTTCCCTTATACACAGATCCGAAAATTTTCATTATCAGAAACAAATATCATTATTAGGGTTTTCCTGTTTTGTGACTTCTGTGTGGTAGGAGAAGAGTATGTAAATTATAAAACTCAACTCCTTGGGGGGCGCCTGGGTGGCTCAGTCAGTTAAGTGACTGACTCTTGATTTCGATTTTTCAATTTCGACTCAGGTCATGATCTCAGGGTTGTGAGATAGAGCCCTGTATCAGGCTCTGCACTGTGTGTGGAATGTGGAGCCTGCTTAAGATTCTCCCTCTCCCTCTGCCCCACCACTCAAACGCATGTTCTCCCTCTCTCTGTCTCTCCCTGAAAATAAATAATAAAACTAACTCCTTGGTCCACTTTATAAAACACGAAATTTTTCATAATTACCAATATTTGTATGAGTTTCCCAGGTATGAATAAAAAAAACATTCTCTTTCTACTATCTGTAAATTAAAATATTATGACTTGGAGAAAGAGCAATACTTGGGACTCCAAGCATTAATCATAAAATTATTATTAAATCCATTTAACTCTGTCCCTCAAATTGTTACTTGCCTTTTAAGGCAAAACCAGAAAAAACGTGTTTTCAGTTGTAATTTTTTTCCACTGAGTATTTTACAAATTAATTTTTTTATAACTTAAATTTTAATGCAAATCTGAAAAATAGAATGCTCAGTCATTACCTTTATTTTTTTTTTTAAAGATTTTATTTATTTATTTATTTGACAGAGAGACACACACAAGCAGGGGGAGTGGGAGAGGGAGAAGCAGGCTTTCCACAGAGCAGGGAGCCCGATGCGGGGCTGGATCCCAGGACCCTGGGATCATGACCTGAGCCAAAGGCAGACGCTTAACTGACTGAGCCACCCAGGAGCCCCAAAGACCAGTAGCTTTAGCAGAAAGAAGACCCCCTATTTAAGTTGAGATTTATAAGAATTAGCTAAAAAGGCAGTTGGGACAGTTGACTGTTAGAACGGGAAGGAAAAAATTGGAAACATGAATGACAGATGCAGTCTGATATCCACTTCAGCATCCAGCTTCTTTCTGAATGTGTTTTGTTCCAAGTAGTGATAGGTCTCTTTTAGCCTTCACTTTGTCATCTGGGGTGTCAGACACATGGCACAGCAGCTTCATCCCAAGGAAGATCTGCATGAGAAGCAGCTAGCAGGGCAGCATTCCAGTGTAGTTATAAAATACAGGCTTAAAAAGTTGAAATCCCAACCAGACATTTGTTGGGCCCTTAAAACACCTCTCTAGAGCTCTGTGGATCTGCAGAACAATTTGAAAAACACTTGCAAAACAAAATTCCTGCCTTCCCCTTGATGAGTAGAGCAGCCCCTAACTGGTGCCTGTCCTCTGACAATAGCTAGGATTCCTCCCACCCTGCATTTTAAAGTTGTCCTAAAAAGATGCTCAGAGGGGCGCCTGGGTGGCTAAGATGGTTAAGCTTCTGCCTTCGGCTCCGGTCATGATCCCAGGGTCCTGGGATCGAGCCCCGCCTCCCAAGCAGGGAGCCTGCTTCTCCCTCTCCCTCTACTGTTCCCCCTGCTTGTACTCTCTTGCTCTATCAAATAAATAAATAAAATCTTTAAAAAAAAAAAAAAAGATGCTCAGAGCTGGGCTTCCTTCCCCTGTGACGGCCCCACAGAGGGGGCCAGGGAGTGAACAACTCAGGGAGACATTATTGCTGCCGGGAGGGAGAGGTGGCGTGGTGAGTGAGGTCTTGGTTGACAGCAGTTCCACCCCATGTAAATTGGGGTGGAGATAGATTTTTTTTAATTTTTTTTTTTTAAGATTTTATTTTGAGACAGCGAGAATGAGAGAGAGAGAGAGCACATGAGAGGGGTAAGGGGCAGAGGGAGAAGCATACTCCCCACTGAGCAGGGATCCCTGTGCGGGACTCGATCCTGGGACTCAGGGATCATGACCCTAGCTGAAGGAAGACGCTTAACTGACTGAGCCACCCAGGCGCCCCTAGATGTTTTTTTTTAATACACTTTTTTATGTGATTTCACTTTAACCATTCTCAGAGAGTTAAGTGTTCATTTCTATCCTGTTGGAGTTAGTAATCAATATGGGGAGAAAAAAAAGGCTGCTTTTGTTCTCAGAAGCTAAACATTCTCACCAGCTGAGGATGACACTGGGCTTACTGGTAGCACCTTGTGTCTTTGGCACTGCTTGATTTTAGGTTTAAGCATGAAAAAAAATAAATTCTTTAAAAAAATCTATGGATTCCTTTGGATAGAACCGTGTGTATGGCTTAAGGTAAACCTTTTTTTTTTTTTTTTTTAAATTTGCAGAGGAAATGCTGACTTTGTCTTCTTTCTCCATCCTTACAGGTTGGTGACATTGTGAAAGTCACAAGGATGAATATAAATGGCCAGTGGGAAGGCGAAGTGAATGGGCGCAAAGGGCTTTTCCCCTTTACGCATGTCAAAATCATTGACCCTCAAAACCCTGATGAAAACGAGTGATTGCTGTTGCCTGTTTCCTGCTGCTTCCTTGTTCTGCCTGTCATAGTCTCCTTTGAAGTGGGAAAGCATTCTCTCTCATAGGCAGGTTACACTGCATTGCCGATGGTCAGCTTTCTGCAGAGTGGCGGTCTCTCATACACATTTGGAATGCACACAGCGGCTGCCTGGGCATTTGTATCATAGTGTATTGTCAAAGAGTAGCAGAGTTTAGAGTTCTTTTGGATCATAAACTGGAAATACTGGTGGAAGCACACAAGTGGAGAGAAGTTGACAAGGAAAGGGTCCGTCTTCTCATCACTGCCCTGTTTGTAGTTGTGACTGATTCTGTCATGTTCATCAGATGGAGCTTGAGGCCATGGTGAGACGTTGCACGTTGCTGTTCCATAAAGCAGTGGCTCAGTCGCCGTTTTGTTCTTCCTTTGAAGAACAGAGCAAATGAACCTTAAAGAGGAGGGAATTCTGTCCTAAACTCCCCAAATCTGGCTCTTCTTTTTTCCTTTTTGGTTTGGTTTTGGAAGACTTAATTAGACTTGTGTGTTCTGAACAGGTTTTTAAGTAGCAGGTTGGATTTTTGTGATAATTGTAAGGAATGACACATGCCTCTGAGCTTCCAAACTGAAGCTGCTGTAACTAAAGGAATATGAAAAAGAAAAAAAAAACAACAACAACCCTGAAGCAGAGGCTTTTATTGTCTTGGTTTCCAGTTGTACCTGTTTTGCCATATAGCAGACAGCCCACAAAAAAATCAGTCATAGTGTGCCAAGCTTGTGTGCATGGCCTCTTGGATTACGTTGTCCCCAAAAAGCATCAGAGTGGGGAGTGATTTGGGGAAGGCTTTGCTTACCTTGTTTGCCAGTGATGATAGGAGCAATGGGGGGAAGCACTTGGCCAGTTTTCTGTCCAGTGTTTCAGTGAATATACCCCTTTAAGGTATAGGAATTAAATTTCTTTAAAAAGTGAAGTTGTTCATAGAATCATTGAATTCATTAATGAATCTTTAAATCCTACTCACTGAGGCCCACTCCTCGCTGCCACAGCCCAAGCTCACGGTCCACCAGAGAAAGATGGTGCTGTTCATACTGGTTCCCCAGGCTCTGTGTCTGTGACGCTCCCAGGCAAAGAAAATGCAAGCTCTGGAAATTGGTTCATGCATTTGATGTCTAAGATTTTAGTGACTAGGGAGAACCATTAACCATTTCGCAATTTGATGTTAACATTTCCTTATTAGCTAAAAGAGGGCTGTTCATACAAGCTAACTTGGTACAAAGGTGTGGCTGATCCCTCATCTGGTGCACATAGCAGTCTAGGATTCTGGAACCTTTATGCAGTTCAGTCTGCTCTCCCTTCTGGAAACTGGTGAAGACAGGCCTCCACTCAGAATGAATACAGCAGACCTAGAAATGTAGCAGCCACCTAATGACTGATTGCATCATTTGCTGAGCAGCTGCTTTAGCCACAGCCCTGTCTCCCAAGGGTCTTGGGTTTTGAGGTAGAGCAAGATATATATACATACATATATATACACCGGTGACAGAACCAGCAAAGCAACCATTTTTTTTCAGTCTCTCTTTAAATCAGTATTCCATTAGGCAGTTAACTACCATATTAAAGAATCTTGAAAATGTTGCTGTGACAAAGATAATGATCAGTTGGAAAAAATATCACTGTGGCTGCCTGTCTGTGGTTTTCCTGGAAAAAAATGCAGTCTGCTCTCCCTAATCAGTGAGCACTGTGGCCACCTCTTGCTCTGAAGGTGCCTCTCCATTGTGTTGCCTCTTATTCTGAGTTCAGGCCCAGCCCAGCTCCCACAGCAAGTGGCACGTGCATGGCAGCATTCCCGTGGTCTGCCTGGACACAGCACTCGCCTTGCAGCCGGTGACCCGGTACTGAGGGGGTTGGCCAGCAGAAAGTGGAATATGTGCCTTGTTCAAAGAGGGCACAAACCTTGAGGCTTTTTTAAACCAAGCTTAGCTGAGGGGCTTGGCACCCTTTGGTGACAATAGTTGGTTCGGAGTACAAGAAGTGTATGGTCATTTTGGAAAGCAAGATTTCCCTTCAGCCATCCATGTCTGCTGACCTGTAGCAAGACCCACCTCATGTGGAGCACTTCAGAATCAGAGCACCCCACAAACCTACTTTGGCTTCATAATAAGTCTGCTTGTCACTTCAGCCCATGCGCATGTCTCCAGGGCTGCCCAGGAGATTGGGAGCCCGAAATAAGGTGAGCCTTGAGTTCTGAACTCTCGAGATATATGTGCCAAAAGTAGTACCTATTTGACTTAGGACCTTATTGGTTTTTTCATCAGGCAGGGAGATTCTGTTCATCACACTAAATATACAAAAACAGCACCCTCGCCTCAGCTTTGTGCCTGGGTTCCCCAGTGATTGGGGAAGACTTCCTGTTCAGAAAGCAATGCGAATCTTCCAGAGGAGCTGCCTTCCCTCCTTGGTTGGTCTCCTTTTAGGATTGTTCATTATTGCTCCTTGCTCTGCTCTACTGTGTGTCACTTAAGGAAATATTTGGATGTTAAATTAACTCACTTGGGAACTGAACAAATTATGAACTAAAGGGCATTGACAGTTTGACTCAAAACTTATTTATCCTGAGAAGGACCTCCAGCACAGGAGTCGTCCTTGTCATTTCTTTGTGGCGTGGTACCACCTGATGGCACGGTGAAAGAGGAGCACGCGTCGACGAGCTGCCATTTGACAACTTTGGTCACCCAGACAAGACACCTGTGCTCATGGATGGAAAACGGAAAGGGGGGAAAGACAGCTGCTCCCTCCTTGGAGCTCAAGGATCGCTGGCTCCGTGCTAACTTTCTTTTACAGCTGTTTACACACAAGACAGGCCAAGGCAGACGGCCACTGCTCTTGTAATGTTTGCTCAGAGGAATATGACCATTTTATTTTTGAAAAGGGATGATGTGTTTTTGTGCCAGGTGTTTATAATTTAATCCTTTAATATTATGTTCATTAACCTCTTAAAACGAGTGACTTTTTGATTGTTTTAACACAGTACCTAAGACTAATGCTTTCTGTGGACACCACTGAGCTCTGCCTCAAACTCCACCCCCTGGGACCAGAGACCTACGTCCCTGGTTAACTGCTATCCGTGTGGAAACTGAGCTGGTTGTATATTCTAAAGGAGTAGAAGGACAGTTCCCTGAGACAGGGTCGTTGTCTCTACAGGAGGAACAGTGGCCTTGCTTCTAGACGGTCTTCACTGTGTGTTTTAAAATGACAACAACAACACAAAACTTTTGACCTGTAACTTAAAAATCATAAACTTCAGGCAATAATATTTTCTGTGTAAGCTTTTAAAATTATTTTTGGGGATCATAGCTTGTTTTATTTTGTGCTATAAAATTAACAGTATTAAATGACTTATATTCTTAGAACATCGAGTGTCTTTTCTTAACAGATTAGTGCCTTTTTATTTTTGTATTCATTTTACGCTACTGGTCCCGGCATCAGAACCCTTGTTTCCATGGCCTGTTTGTACATTGTCTCAATAAAACTTGCATCAGCCGGTGGTGGCAGCGGCGGCTTTGGTGTTTCAGTGTCTCCTCAGTGCTGCCTGCAGGCTCCTCAGCCCATGTCAGCCTCCCGAGCAGTTAAGCACCTGGCGAACGCCTCAAACGCAGAAACAACTGGTGCTCCCCCCCGGGATGCTGCGTCTTGCAGCCCAGCCCTGTCATTGCCCTCCACAAAATAGGTCTTGCGTGAGTGTACTGGCCCTTCCCTGCACCCGGGGCCCCCCTACAGAAGAGAAGCAGCTGGCTCCCAGTGTGTGAGCACAGTGGGTGCTGCGGGGGGCTGGTGCTGAGTCTTCGCCTTCGGAAGATGAAGCAGTAGTTCTCACACTTTACACCACCAAGGAAAACCTGGATGTTTTCCCTTCGAGGCACCTGTTTCTGAAGGCTTCTGTTAAATACTTGTCTAGCACAAGCTCCCCAGGGTTGAAATGGTTTCAAAGTGAAAGTTCTGGAAAACAAGCATTC